GTGTCAGTGAGAAGGCCTGGACAACCTATGGGGCTCTGAGCTGTGGATCAGTGTCTATTCCTGGTATACAATCTGTCTTCATGTGCCTATAGCACAAAGAGAGATGCTCTCTCAGCCTGGACTCTTAGGGGAGTGCCTTGACCCTACCAAGAGTAAAATGATAGACTCTAGACATCCCCTATGTGGAAGTATGTGGCAATAGGGTGGGAGGGAGGGTGGAAGGGGAGTGCGGGAGGAGGGGAGGGAGAGGGAACTGGGATTGACATGTAAAACAAGCTATTTAAAATAAAAAAAACTAACGGAAAAAAATAAATAAATAAAACAAGATAGCAAAAAAAAAAAGAAAATAAAACAAATCTGTAAATATGATAAATCAACCAAATGTTTGCTTCTAATTTCTCATATAAACAGGTTTTGTGGGAAACCAGAAACTCCTCTAATTCCCACTGACCAGAGAAGGCCCTCAATGTTTGTTGAGTGAGTACTCAACTAAATTAGGATTCTGACTCATTATCATAAAGAGTCATTCTTGAACTTTACCCAAGGAGGTGAAGGTGATTTCAGTTTCCCACACATCTCAGTATTGATATGTTCTATGCTATTTTAGGTGAAGCATGATCCATACTGACTTGTAGAAACCATGAAAACTATGGAGAAGGTGTTAATGAGAAAAGAAAAAGTAACTGGGCTTAATTGAACTTTTTCACATTCTGCAAGATTATGCTCTGGGTTTGAATTGGTAGTGCTTGTTGTATTATTTCTGCAGTCTAGGAAGGGGGAGTTGGTTTTCAGCATAGCACATCACATTTTGATAACTCTTTCTCACCCTCTGTTTATACTACAGATATCAAGATACTATTACCAGACACTTAAAATAACTTGAACCTTGTCAGATAAGCCGTGTGAAACCAATGAGTAAACACACACAACCTCAACCATAGTAAGAACAGAATGAAATGCTTCTCTATGTGTACATTTTGAGTGTGTTATATATGGAGTGTACGTGTGAGTGTGTGTGTTCTGTTGTGGTATATATATGCATGTTGTGTGTGTGTGTTATGTTTTCTGTGTGTGTTTATGTATATATAGTGTGTCTGTGTTGTGCATATGTGTGTACTATATGTGTATGCATGTTATGTGCTAGGTGTTCAGTTATGATGTGTACATGTTGTATGTGAATGTGTGTATTATCCTAAAAAGAACATGACAAACTGAGTGAACTTGGTGAAGACATCATTCTTCATTAACATCCTGGAAAGACACCATGACTACAGCAACTCTTATAAAGAAAAACATTTAACTGTGACTGGCTTACAGTTCAGACGTTCAGTCCATTATTGTCACGTGGGAAGCTTGGCAGCACACAGGGAGACATGGTGCTGGAGAGGTAGCTGAGAGTTCTACATTTGGATTAACAGTGTGAGGCACTGAGCTTGATTTGAGCTTCTGAAACACCAAAGCCCACAACCAGTGACACACTACCTCCAACAAGGCAACGCCTACACCAAAAAGGCCACACCTCTTAATGCCAATCCCTAAGCATTCAAATACATGAGCCTATGACGGTCAATCTTTTTTAAACCACAGCATAACCCTTAGGACAAAAAAAAAATCACATTTTCTCTTAAGCATGGAGTAGGTGATTCAGGAAGGTGAGGTGATCTTTGAGCAGTGAACATAGGAACTGGAAATTGTATAAGGCAAAGCCTCACAAAAAATAAGTACGGGGAGGTTCAGAATCAGTAAAACAGTAAGCAGTATTTGCAAATATTTCTGTACTCATTAGTCTGAAAAGGGATTTGTGGTGACACACCGTTACCTAAGCTAACAGGCTATGAAAAGGAACATTTAAATGAATATACCATTATTTTACTATCTATGCATACTTTTTTCTTCCAAAATAAATTGAGGAAAAAAAGTGTACCACTGAAACCAGGGCTACAGGCATTGCTCTGAGTGAAGCTCTAGCAAACCAGGTAACCATAGTCTTAGTCACTTCTTTCTCGTTCTCTCTGAGTTGATCTGATAGAGCAAAGGTAGATGCCACAACCCAATCTGATGTGAACTTGGCCTCCATGAAGAGCAACCAGGAACATTTCATGGATCATTGTTCATTTCCAACTTCCATGGGGTTCTTCAGGTTTCGGGCAGCACTGATTGCTTTAAAATAATAATAATGTCTAGCTGGATCATGGGTATTATTCAACTAGTCTACTGCTTTCTGGCAGTCTACCATCTGTACTCCAGGAGTGAGGAATGAACTTATTAGTGAGTGGATGTGGAATCTCATATTTCCAGGAGTTTGAGATTGGCTGTGTCTGGGTCTGGCACCTGTTATCTTTATGTACACAGAAGATAGTCATACAAAGTGATTCACTAGGCCACAAAGTTGTTCTCAAAAAGGGCTAGACCACTGGCCTAGAGAACACAGTCAATGGTGAAGTCCTCTATTGTTTGGGACCTAGACTAAGAATGGTAACAAAAATGTGATGCATATGCTCACTGAGATCTTACTCACCTGTAAAAAATTATGAGATTATTAAATTTGGAGTGGGTGTGGGAATTATTATGATAAGCAAACTACCTCAAAATCATACCTCTGCCTCACATGTACGTCCTAGTTTTTTGATGATTACATGCATGTGTATATGTGTGTATGATCATAAACATCGATTATGAAACTAGAAAGGGGACCACAAAAAGAGGAACAAGAATGTTGAGGAAGCAGAGGGATATAGCAGGACACATGTAACATGAAAGTGGGAAGAAGACTACTAGGAGTGCTTGGGAACAAAGGGGGACAGGGAGATGAGGGAGAAGAGGAAGGAGGAAGGTCAGTAAAGACAAATTATGTTTGAAAAATGTCATAGTCAAACAATATTTTGCATGTTAATATAAGAAATTAACAAAAATAGATAATGGGGAAAAATGAAATTTTACACTAAAAAGTGACATTTAAAAATGTCTCATTTTGTGAGCATTGGCAAGCATCTTCCCATTCATCCTATTGCCAACTCTTAAATTATAGCATGAGCCGGGCGTTGGTGGCGCATGCCTTTAATCCCATCACTCTGGAGGCAGAGGCAGGTGGATCTCTGTGAGTTCGAGGCCAGCCTGGTCTACAAAGTGAGTTCCAGGACAGCTTCCAAAGCCACAGAGAAACCCAGTCTCGAAAAAAACAAAAACAAAAAAAATTATAGCATGGACTTCATAGCATTGATAGGAGTTTGTTCATTTTCTTTCGTTTTGTCTAGGAGAATTGGTGAGGGCAGGGATTGAGTTATTTTTGAACTCTGAGTATATATCAGCAAAATGATTGTATGCCATTAAAAATTTCTGCAATGATTGAAAAGTGAATGATTCATTTGTCCTTATAAATATGAAAATGGAGAACACTGAGCAAGTGAGGATTTTTAAAAACACAATGAAACTTTATTCCTTGGAGGATGTTATGAATACTGTACCATGTGTTAGAGATTTCCTCCTGGACTTTCTACAGCACACCATTTCACTTGTGTAACTGGCAGCTCTAGTACAGGGTGAGCACTACTCTTGGAGAAAATCTGGAGTCTAGAACACACAAAGGGTTGTGTTCAGAAAGCTTGAGTAGAAGAACAAATTTATTGAGTTGTTAAAATGCTAAGACAAAAGCAACTTATGGGAGAAAGGCTTTATTCTGACTTACAGTTTGAGGGGTATAGTTCACCATGAGGGGGAGGACAGGAGCAAACACTGAGTGATGACAGCTGGTCACTTTGCTTCAGCTGTCAGGAAGCAAAGAATGAACAGGATACAGGCTGAGCTGAAAAGCATTAAGCCCCACAACCTGGTGATCCATTTCTTCCGACTGGGCTTCACTTTCTAAGGGTTCTACAGCTTTCCCAAATAGCACAACACTCTGGAGATGAGGTGTTCGACCATAGTCATCCACCTCCCTGCACACTGCCACTTACTGTGCTACTCTATCAGAAAAAACTGATACCTAAACAGTGTGATTTAAAAAACAGTAGCAATAGTGTCACAAATAAGCTTTCCTTCAAAATAATGTTTTATTTACTTTAATACAAACTAGTGCTGTGCCTGTATTGAGCACTTTATATGGTGTATCTCATTTAAGACTCGACAGCCATCCTAAGACATGGCAAATGCATGGTATCACAGGATAGAACTAGCGTTAGTATACCACAAGAGAGGAAGAAAAAGACAGAAACATGAAGATAAAAAGAGAGAAGGAATTGCTAACTTTGTGCCAGTGAACTATCTCCTGCTTAGACTAAAGAGTTAAGCCAGAGACCCAGGGAAGGTTAGAGTAGCTTGAAGAGAATCCTAACTTTTGCACTGTGGAGTTTCAGGTTTTACCTTTCTATGTTTTGGTGCAGGATCCAGTGTGTCTGTATATGTTACTGGAAGAAGTGCTTGATAAGAGAAGCCATGGGTATGAATGTATGTATCTGCATTATTTAGTTTTGCTTTTCCTCTGGACAATGAGCATGAACTGAACTCATGTTGTCATGAGTAAATCTAGTCTCTGATTGTTTCTGGGAAAAGTTATTAGAGCATTTTTGCTTGGTGTGACCAATCAGAGTAAACAATAGCCAGAATTTAAAAGTATCTGCTGTGAGAAAATGCTGGGGAAAAGTCACTTGCAAATGAGTTTGATTTTAGTGTTTCTAAATAGCGTGATTGTCAGTGTCTCTCTCTTTATCGCCCCCCCCCTTTCTCTTAGACCACAAGATCACTGGTCTCAGAAGACAACTGTGATATAACTATGATTTATAATGTTGCTTATAAAGCAAGTTCTGTCTATTTCCTCCTTCTCATAGACCCCACCATTACACTTTGGAATTGTGGAAGCAGATAGGATCGACTATCTTTTGTTCTTTTCTTCAGTTGGTTTTGCCTCAATAGATGAATTATTGTAGCAGCAGGAAGCAGCTAATCCTGGGGTTGGTAATGAATAAGCATGGATTTATTGGTCCTGATTGTAACCTTCTGTGCAGATGGAGTAAACCTGGGGAAGACAACTGAGAGGGAAGGAGGCTAAAGAAAGACTGTTGAACAGCATGGCTCATCTGAGGATGCTGCGTCCAGTTCTTCCTGGCTCTGAAAAAAAACACCAAACAGTAGATTTTTCAAGATGGCTCCTACTTGCAAGACAGGAGTGAGCAAGGAAAAAAGAGCGTAGGAGATCTCTTTCTCTCAGGAACCTTGTACTTTGTAGGTCGTAGTATGCCCTTGGATATAAATGCATAAAGAAGGGGGTATTTTTGTATGCAAACTCCTGTGACAGTACCTGCCTGCAGCCTCCCTCTGCTTCTCTGTGTACTGTCTGTCCATGAACTTATAAAATTACAGAGTCTTACAAGATAATGTGGAATGAAATGGAAACCGCATTGATAAGGTTGCTGGGACTGGATCTGCCACTTGTCTAGTCCTCTTCAAATACGATGCTGAGATACAACATCCTATTGAGCATCTGCTCTCCCTTGCACCTGGAGGAAGAGAATGAACCCATTTTAAAGGCTTGAGAAGAATGTCTTTAAAGAGGATTAATTCAGTTGGCTCACTCGGCAAAGATGATCTTTCTTTCATGCTGCTCCTGCAACTGGTGGAGCTGAGACAGACATTCTAAACCATATGATGATGAGGACAAAATCCTGCTGAACACTCAACTGATAGAAAGAATCCCACCATTAATTATTTGGATATTTTTTGTATTAACTCCAAATCATTTGCCTTTAGAACTTTTAAGAGAGTGGAGACCATAAGCTCCTGTCTCATTTGCGTCATAACTGTTGGAGTGCTGTAGTTACTGTATACCAACTACAGCTTTCACATTCATGGTTATCATTTGTAATTAGGAATAATGGGCTCCATTTAGGGGAATATCATTCAGGTATCCGTGCTGGTTAAGTGTACAGAATCTGCAAGCTCCCAGGAAGTGGAGCAGACAATGAACATTATGAGAAATCAATGGAGGCAAAATCACAGTAATTCCCATAACTCTGAGAATCCCACAAGGAAATCCAGGAAGAGAAAAATCTGTTCCACACAAAGCCAAACATTCTGGAAATTTCCAAAAGCCCAAAAGCTTCATATACTATTTTTCTTAAGTCAATAAATGGCTTCTTCACCTAGCATCTTTTAGAATTTACTTCTTGATCACTCATCAAGTTCTATGTTTGCTTTTATGATTTATGCCTCTCTTCGAAATTGTTATTGTGGTGGTAAGGACTTTGCCTGTCATTTTGTAACTATGTCTCCAGCATCTCCCCCTGTGATGAATACCCAAAGAATTATTAGATAATGTCCGGCTGGATAGAGAATACTTTCTTTTGTTTTACTGTCCAAATTACACAAGAAGTCTAGGTTTCAGCCTAAGCTATATCATGATCAAGATACCACAAAGTGATCCCAGTATTGTGCTTGGTTGGGTTTATTGTCCAGTTAACCATTTTTCACTTTTCTGTCTAAAGAAATGAAAGACTTCCTAATCAATTTTCTTAGAGGAGACTGGAGCAATTTCTGTGGACCAAAAAAAAAACCAAAACCAAAAACCAAAACAAAACAAGACAAACAGCATATAGAGAACATCTCTGTTTCTTGTGAAGCAAACAAACAGGAACTTCCTTTGATCTAGGTGATTATGCTCTAATTGTCTGCATCCTTAGAAATTTCCCTAATAAAATAATTTTGAGCCAGGCGGTGGTGGTACATGCCTTTAATCCCAGCACTCGTGAGGCAGAGGCAGGCAGATCTCTGTAAGTTCGAGACCAGCCTGGTCTACAAGAGCTAGTTCCAGGACAGCCTCCAAAGCCACAGAGAAACCCTGTTTCGAAAAAAACAAAAAACAAAAAAAATTGTAAATAGGATGCTGCTTTCATTTATTACCAGTATACTAACTCCCAGACTTTTAAGGAACACGTATTATTAATTCATTTATTAATTATTATTTCTTAAATTCTCATCCTTAAATTGATTGACTTGGATCACTGTTTTGATTTTAAGAGATATTGTGGCATATCAAACTAGAAGGAAGAATCACAAGAAAATATAACTTCTATAATTTATTATGAGACTAATGCATGATGGGAATTCTCCCTCCCCCCCAGGAAAACCAAACATGAATTCTAACAAATAAATTTTCAATTTTTCAGAATTTTCAATGCAGAACAAGCTCTTAATATGCTTTTTAAACCAAACATAGTCTTCATCACTGGTCACACATATGTCCTTAGGATGTTTTAATGTATCTACACAATTACTTTCATATCATTGATTTAAAACTTTGACCAGATTCCAAATAGTTTTATTTTTGTAATTTTATTGTTGTGTTGATGCTAACTCACGTCTGGTGGGTAACAATGTTTGCTGAGGATAAAGATGATCAGGTATCCAGTCATTCTGACATTTTAACTCAATGACTCATTTTTGTAGTGAGAGAACTTACCCAGATATTCACCCTCTACCCTGCTGGTTCAATGCTGGTAGTTACTTAGCTGTGCGCTCTAAAGGTCTAGGGATGTGTCTCAGTGATAGATGTCTTACCTAGCATGCACAAAGTCCTGGGTTTGATCTTTATAACACACACACACACACACACACACACAGAGAGAGAGAGAGAGAGAGAGAGAGAGAGAGAGAGAGAGAGAGGGAGAGAGAGAGAGAGAGAGAGAACTTTTAAATTCGTTTTTTAGAAGCAATCTGAAAAACAGCAGCTAGTCCATCATCTAAGCTGGCTTCTATAAAGAATTTAGAGAGTGATATGTCATTAGCCTCTGAGGGATCAATCTCTGGAGATTTTAGAGGTCATTTTTTTATCTTTGTATCAGAATAGAATTAATCATAACTTTAGGAGACATTGGAGAAACTGAGAGACATTGGCCAGCCCACATGAGGCAGATTCTTTACAATTTCTAGAATAAAGTCCCATTTATATTTCTCAATGTCTGTAAACAGAGTAAGAGCAGGCCATGTCTAAGTCTTCAGATTCCTATATATATGGATACATGTTCTAATGTTCTACATCTAGTGACCCTAGAATAGTTGTGCCTTTCTATAAGGACTGTAGTTGTATACAAGGAATCAATTTATACCAAAGGGCCCTGCTTTTCGGAAGTGGAAGGACTTGTAGATTCTGGCATGGGGTAATACATTTGAGTCAAGTGCACATACTGTCACTCCTGACTGTTGGTCATTTCTTAAGACAGTAGGAAACCACAGAAAGGGAGTGGGTATACATGAGAAAAATTTAACTTGATCTGAGGAAGTCACTAACTCCTGTGCTCTCACAGACTTGTATTGTAAGGTTACAGCAACCAGAGAAAGGCCTCAAACCTTCTTCCTTCTTGACCTGAACCACATCAAAACTATGAAACTGGTAGCTGGAAGAAGAAATGGGAGTGTTCAGAAAGAAAGGAGAAGGCTTGGAGAAAGAAACCAGATCTCAATAAACACTCATGAGAGATGAGACAAGATAGTTCTTAATGACCCCCCAGATACAGAACATAGCAAGGGCCAAAGCAAGGGAAAGCAATGATGCTGAATTTGGTGCAAGATCAGATCTAACCCTGTAGCATAGCTAGATGTCTATCTTACTGGCAATACCTTCACTCTATGGAAGTATTCAAGTTGAATCTGGATGCCTGGCTCCCTGAAATTCATTGAAGATATGGATGTGGGTACAAGGCTGTACTACATAGTTAGAAGTGTCAATGATGTAACCCTTTCTTATTCATCTTCAACCCTACTATCTCCACAAAAGCTTCACTCAAAACTTCCATGAATACAAGTTCTCCCTTTATCTCAATCCGTAGCACATTTGTCATTCCTTTCACTTATTATGGTGGCTCATGTTAAACCTTAGTTATATATCATGTCTATATGTATCTCCAATTGCTTTGTGTATATTGCCACCACATCCCTCTCCCTCTGCATGAATGTAGACTCCTTTGTATTTGTGAACTGTGTAATATGCTTTTTATGCCACCCATGGTGCTCCATTCATGACAGGACAAGTGGTTGTGTTCAATGAGTACGTGTTGAAATGAATTGAACTGATGTTCAGGGACTTCCACAAGACAGCAAAACTACTTTGTAAATGTGTCAACTCTATAGAGGGAAAAATCCAGCTTAATCTCCATCATAACTTTCCTTAAGAGTTACTTAGTTGCTCAGTGTCTTCCAGCTGGCCCTAGGCTCCATACCTTCTCCCATCCTTTCCATATCTTCCCTCCAACCATCTGTTAATCTAGTCCACCTGAATTTGGTGGCAAAGACATGAGAAAGTGAATGTGGAAACACTGTGTAAGCTATAAACTATGTGGATAATAAAATAACTTTTAAAAGTTTTATTTTCATTGATTTTATTTATGTGTGTGTATGTGCAGGTTCCCACAGAAGCCAGAAGAGAATCTTGAATTCCTCAGGGGTGGAATTAGATGGTTGCTGTGAGATGAGTGATGTTGGTGTGAGGAACTGAACTCAGGTCTTCTGCAAGAGCAGAGAACTGTTGTCCAATGACCCATCATCTCTTCAGCCCCACAAACATTTTTCTATTAATATTTCAGAAGCATAGTAGTCACCCTTTCTTCCTCTCTGAGTATTACCCATGTCCAAATTGAGAGTAGCTAATCTTCTGCAGATGATTAAGATGTGGTTCTTTGCATTGAGGGGAAGAATGCATCTCTTAGCAAAACTAAAATTAAACCATCTTCTTATATATTTTAAGTTCAAAGAAAGAAGTGGCCACAACAATATTAAGTCTGAAACCGAGTGCAAAGAAACCATGGAAGATCAATAGACTCTACTTGTTTCTAATGAGCAAAATTCTAATTCAGAATTTAAGTGTGCTTTCATTTTCTGTTCTTATTTCTAATGCCTTCAAATTATAATGAAAAGTCCCAATGCTGATAAAGTGATTTTTAAAAATATTATTTTCCTACATTAACTATATAACATATATATGTTAAAATGAAAGATGAATAGTACTAGATGAAATGTTTGATGTAATTTACTAATGCATTCAGAAATAGGGGTGTCACATATGTAGCAGATGCATCATACAAGTGAAAAACATTAAATTACTGTAATGTGGGGCTTCTGTTAAGAAAGAAATATATGAGATGATGTTTAATTTGGATTTTCACTTTCTTCGAATTATTTCAACCATACATAATTAACAATACTATTTTATGAGTATCTTTTAAAATTTTTTATTTAATTTAAAATCAAATATTAAATCATAGCATCAATTTGCACCATCTCTAGCATCTCCAAACTTTCCCAGTGACATTCATTAGTGCCTTTTAGGATTAACTTAGGTCCTGAGATGATCCTGAGAAGAGTGAAGGTATGTTACCCATTAATGTGCCTCAGCTGATAGGACCCAATGTTAGGCTTGTGGCCCCAGAATGATAATTGGGAGTGCGATTAATAAATCCAAAACCTCTCATTTATTGGCTTTCAACTCTCTTACCTCTTAGAAGTGACACCCCTGTCTGTGTCAACATACTTCTTATCACCTATCAGCTGCTTTGGTTTCATCACTTAGCACTTCACATCCCACCAGATGAGAGTTTGAAGATGAAGCCTTGACTACTTGGATAGAGCTCCAAGAAAATAATGTATTCTTCAGTTAACCTTTTCCTGGGAATCTTAGAAAATGTTTCTTCATTTTTCTCACAAACCATCCGAAGCCCAATGCATGCTGCATAATGGCACTGGAGATGTATAACATATCCCACTATCACAGGCCCCTCAGACTGCCAATGGGACTCCTCTTTACCATTATGGGGAAAAGGTATTTAATGTACCTAACTCATTTATTAACTCAGTTAGCTCCCCACATCCTCCTGCTGAAGAATCACCCAAGCTTTATGCAAGCTGTGCTGATCAATGTGGAGACATTTTTCTTCCAAGTATATATATGGATGGATTCATCTTACATCCCTCATGTTAAGGTAGACCCATTGCTTATATTTCCATATTCACATTGCATCTGATATCTTGGAAAATATTCCTCAAGTATAACTCCTAACCTTACCCTTCCAGTAAGTGGGATAGTGTCCACAATCTCAAATTTTCTGCCTCTGGATTCTGCTGCTTCTACCCCAAATGATAATGGCATGATCATTTGTGTAGTCTACTCTATATTTCAAAGGGAAGTTGATATGAGACCTTAATCTTCCTTGTCCTCAAGGTACTCTTTCTACTTTTCATGGTATTTTATCTGTTCTTTGACATGAACTTAGTTCAAACTATGTAAATGAACATAGATGGTGCAAAATAAATTAGCTGCATTTAAATAATTTGAACCTCTATAGAACTACAGACTAAAGCCCATTCATTAAAAGAACAACACAAAACAGTATTCATTATGAATTATGCTACAGGTGATTTTAGAAAACTCATAGAAACATGCAGATACTCTGTAACATAGACTTTCATAATTTCATATCAACTCTAACATTGTCTTTATGACAGTACGAAATCTCATTTATTTAAGTTTTAGTCTTAGCATCTATAAAAGAAAGGAAGTGGACGACCTGACACAGGAAGCCCTTAGTATTCTAACACATAACGATGGGATTCAATTTAAAATCTAAATAGTTACAGTAAGAGGTGTGATCAATTAGAAAGTTCAGTTTATTCTGAATTAAGGTCAAAGGCTAATATTGATATGTTAATGGAGCTAAAATTGCAGCTGCTGTATATTACTGCAGGCTTGCTTCAGCCATAGT